TTCAATGAGAACAGATGGTCTGAATTATTCAGGAATACCGGTCTCAGCCCACCATGCTGCGCTTCCTCCCGCGTAATCGTACTGAAAAAAAAACCCCCGATTATGGACAAATCAGTCAATTCAGTCGTACCATCGTCGAGCCGTCGATTGATAGCAGGCCAATCCTTTCCCAATTCCTTTGAATATTTTCTATTTCACCACCCGCACTTCCCGGCAATAAGGAGCGCACACTTCCCTCTCTATCCATTCTATGCCAAGGGCACCAGCGGCCTCATCGACCATCCGAACTCCCGGTACATTCACCCCAGAACTTGAGCATATTTAGTTCTACTCTTTGATCCGCGACGTACGAATGTTGCGTATCGCAAACATTTGAGAAGCGTCCGTACCTCATCACCTGCTACGCGTGAACGGGTCAGGGAGGCATCCAGAGACGGGTGGCTAGTAAATCGGTGCTTTAGAAGTATTGGAGGTGCATCAGAAGTCAAGCTAGGATTCGTCCGTCAGATGGTCAATTTAGAAGACATTGAAGGACTCGTACATTTATAGCACACCGATGGTGAAGCGGTTATCATGCTTGCCTTCCATTGTTTCATAGAATTGGTTAGCAAGCGGCAGGGGTTCGACTCCCCTTCGGTGTATTTTTCGCCTCGTTCCGGGCCACCATACGTGCCATGCTGATGGCACCCCCCAAGCGCAGAAAACTCACTCAGCTGTCCCTCCAACCTCGTCAAACCCACCGCCGCTCCAGATTCTGTCCCCGCTGCAATCTCCAGCTGCGTATCCTGCCACCGCACGCTCAAGGCAACTCAACTCACATGTGCACGGTGAGTATGTCCAATTGCCAACAAAATGGTAATTAGAACATCGCACGCGTTATCTCTGACTTATAGCCACCGGAAAAACGTCAAATCGTTCAGGCAGGACTATTGAGATTTTTTTCATCCAAATCACTAGACATGTATAAGAAAGCTATACTATGAATCTGTCGTATGAAGTCTTGTATGAATAATGAAGAATATTGTATACGGTTTGAAAAGAAAAAAATCGACGTAAATTATATAGAAAAATGAAGTAGACCCCTCCAGAGTATCTAAGTAGATGTGACGCAGATTACGGCGCTTGTGTGCGGGTGGTATCTCTATCATACGTTAATCCTGCTCGATTATATAGT